ATGACGTCATAAAAAAAGTTAAACAAAATAGGTGACTCTACCAGAATCCATTGTTAAATTGGAGTGCCGAAAAACTTCATTCATTAATAATAGGACAGTAAAAGTTATATATAGTCTAATTGAATTACATAGGTATAATCTAATATTACATATAATGTATTATACATAATGTATGTATTATATATATATGTAGGTAATATAATTTAATATGATTACAATATTATTTTAAATTTGAGACTATTTTAAAACTATTCTACATTTAACATATACTTATTGTCATAGGTTATAGGTGTGCTAATAGTTCTAAACACTATCTTTGAGTTTATATCCTTTAACATACATATTTATTATACATATATACATACATAAATGAATATATGAATACAAAATACATACTATACATACGGTATATAATAAAAATTATAGACTATAAGTACGTGTGTATAGAATCAGTCCTACATGGGCCCACATAGATATTATTTGTATGAGGATTAATATTTGCCTGGCTGTATAGCATCAAGAGTATTATTAAGTAATTTGTTGTTGGTTTTAAGCAAAAGTTAAACGAAAATAATTAAAATAGAAAATTGAGAAAAAATTTATAAAAAATATTAAGCATTTTTAAAGCGGTCATGCGTATGTACAGGATTTTCTCCATATTTTGGCTTACCTAAATTCTCCACCGACGCATTCATTTCGCGCAGTGTACGTGCGTAACGCGTACCTCCTCGAATGGTCCCCTGTGGCTTAATGCCGCCACCATCGCCTGGCGACTGCATAGCTGGAGTCTTATTCCGTCTTATGGTAGGCAAACGTGCCACAAATGACGCGTTGTGCTTGAAACTAGAGGATCCACGCCTAATGGAAATAAATTGAAACTTCAGTGTTACACGCAAATGAAATGAAAATAATTGCGAATGCAATAAAATTTAAGTGTTTTTTTATATTTAAATGTGGGTACATAATTAAATTATTTGTGTTATTGGTACATTAGTTACTTAGGATGCTGCTGTGAAGTGGTTCACTATGCGAGTGAACTAAAATGATTAAATTAATGCAATAAGAAGCATTTAATTATGCAATATATAAATTGAATTATCATATATCGATATATACACATACATATATATATATATAAGTTATAGTTATTCACATATTGATATTCATATTGATATTAGTACATATAGTTAGAGGGACGTGCATACACCATCGAATCATGACACCACACGATAGATAGATACCAGCATATGCATTTGACGGCAAGAGTTTCAAAATATTTATATGAGTTATACGAGTATGTGTAAATCGATTGGTGAGATAGATAGCTTTTACTTTTTAATAAAATGTATTAAATATATAGTATATATGTATATAGTAAGTAAAATAGCAAATATAATTTATTTAAAGTGATATGAAATAAATGTATTTATAATATATTGAGTAAAAAAGTCAGGGTATCATGCATGCAAGTGTTTATAGTTCATAAGGAAGGAAAATACTTAAACCATTTATATATATAAGTTTTAATGGTGATTAATATGTATATATTTTAATTGATTTTACAGAATGTATAAAAATATTAAAATATAATAAAAATTTTAAAGCCTATGTATGCTATTTATTACACTTTTTTGTATCTTAGTTATTTTAAAGTGCTTGTGCCATGCACCAATTAAGAATTTGCGATCAATTTATGTGCAAATTACTCATTTTTTTATTTATGTATAATTAATTATAGTTCGCAATTTAAATATACTCTGAACTCATATTCATTAATTTGAATAAAATAAATTATGCCTTAAATATTCTCTGAACTCATATTCAATAATTTAAATAAAAGAAATTATGCCTTATCCTCAAATTCACTGGTTTTTATTAAAGTAATTATGTCCCTATAGTCTTATCCGAAAGAATGTTTATAAGATCATAAATACAATTTAGGCAACTGCGAAAGGAAAAACTGTTAGAAAAATAAAATCAGGTCCTTATATACATTCATCAATATAATAAGAACTATAGATATATAGCAAGGCAACTTCGAAAACTTGTAGGTGAAATTGACTTCCTTTAATAATTCCATATCAAATATTTTTTACCATATAAACTTAAGCCCCCACACACACAAACACAGTAATCCCAAATATTTGAAAACTATTTCGTGTCGTACCCATTAAATAGACCTAAAGGATAGGTCGATTATCATCATTCATCAATTCCTGTATCCCCCATTGGAGCATAGGGTCACCTATTCGATACTGTCCGTTTAATATAGTAGTTAAAGAAAAGCATCTTAAAAAAATATTTTTTACTAGTTAACTAATGAAATAACTTTCACATGAAGAAACAATATACTTAATCTATATACTCGTCTAAGATAATTTTCAATTAACATCTGCTCAAGAAAATATATGTAATATATAAAAACAAGTAATACAAGTAACTGTAAAAAACCATTGTATCGTAGTAAGGTGCAGTATTTGGTACGAGTGATATACCTTTTAGTTTTTGAAAATGACAAAAGTATCCCATTATAATGATCGCTATATAAGTCCGCAGTGGTTCCACATTTTTAACTGCTTACCTGTGGACAGGTGTTCCTAATACACATATCAAGATAATGCCTCGAAACGCTTCATATCAAAGTATTTCATTGATTACTATACTTATTTGCTTTGATAAGACTTCTTTTTGCTGACGCGTGATATCAGACCTCATTTCGGATAAAGTGTCGCAAATAGTATAGAGTGATGTCTAAGGAATTTTAGTACCGATTTTGACAAACATGCTTTGCCTCGGAAACATTCTAATCACTCCCCCAAAGAGAAAGCTGATCAATAAGCTACAAGAAAACGATTTTTTTTTGTAATAAAATTGTAGACCTATGGACGACATGCGCATTTAAGAGGACGGTGCCATTAGGCACACAATATCTCCTGTTTTTTTGCTTTTCACGTTTCGGTGAATTGAATTAAGCACCAAGATGTTGCTATATATTATTGATGAGAAATCCTTTTATGTGGACAATCATCAAGCTCTTGACACTTTGAAAAGTTTTGACAGAAATCCATCAAGTTATGAACGAACTATTGCCAGCTATATGCCGGCAAATAATTGAAAATCACTTTAAAAGGATCCAGTACCAGTTAAACGTAGTGTGAAAAACACTACTATGATGTTGTATTTCACATGTATGGCCAGGTCTAAGCAATATATTGAAATAAAAATCTGATTGAAACTTCTATTTATAATTTATGATTATTCTTAGAATCACAAATTTCTTATTTCCTGATTTAAAGCAAAGAAAACGTGATTTGAACTTCTTTAATCAATTGTTTCTTCATAAATTTAGTACACATTTAGTTTCCTTAATACTGATATAATATTTTAATTTACTTTTCCAGTAGTTCTGCTAAAACGATTGTATAGATGGCTTTCAGGTCGTCCTTTGTGTTATTGGGCCATCTGATACTAGATTAATTTTTAAGATGAATTTAAACTACACATAGTACTAGCATGAAACTTAAATGATATGTTGTAATTAGACTTTCTACATAATGCATAGACTTCATGGACTTCATAAGTTTTTACATAGTTAATACAACTAGAACTGATAATCCACATTTTTGATGCCAAATAATGCTGAACTGAATCTCACAACAAAAATATCAGTTAAATATTTAACAAGTATCTCTATAAATACTTATGAATACATAATGAATTATTGAAAATATGTAGCATATAGACTTTACTGGATTATATATTGAAAGGTACAGAATATTTCAAGTAATAACGTGATACCATGGATCGACTATTTTACTGGGGTTATAGTTACTTAAATTGACTAATTTGATTAGGAATGTACCCTGAATTGGTGTCACTAATAGTTTTATAATAATAATGCAGAATAACATACTAAATAGGCTCTAAAGTGAGATTTACTAGGAATATAATTACGTAGGTGTTTACGTACCTATTATCTAGTTCGAGTTGTGCAAATATAATTTTAAAAGTTTTGAATAAATATAATCTTAAACTTTATCAATTGTTTTTCAATAGATAATGTATTCATCTGGTACTAATACTGTGATATTGATATCAATCTGAGAGATATTTTATTGGGACTAAAATTTAATACTAGCGTTTATATGTTTTTATTTTGAAAGGGCACAGTTAGTATTCCAAATTATGAGTTAAGTCAAATTACATATAAGTAGGGAATTAAATTCAGAATAAATTTTAAGGACCATAATAAATTGAAAATTATTTTATTTTTAAAAAAGCAAAATTTTGATAAAGCTGGTTTGAATATGTAGTATATAATTTTTACCTATCTTCGACGACATGTCTAAAAAACTTATCCGAAAGGTCTGAACTGAAACAATAATAATAAGTCTTATGTAAAATTTGATAACTTATTTAACAATATAAGACAATACGCCATTAGTGGGATGCGATGAAGGAATTTTGAAAGCAATATCCAATAAAAAAGCTGGATGTTTGGAATAGTCAATATTAATTAAGTGTGCAGTGTTTACTGTTTAAGTGTGCAGTTTTTACTACTTTGTCTTAATATAAAATTGTGGTGCTGTAGTAAAGCAATAAAGTGTTTATTGAAGCAATTTTTTTGTATGTAAAAGGCGGAGATGACTGTTGTAAGTTGCCACTTGTTTCAAGCTTTTGTACATAAAAATAGTTTGAGGTTTAACTGTGATGTAGTGTTGTCAACTGAGTTTACTGTTTCTTGAAAATTGTAAATAAAAATATGTAGCTTAAGAATTAATTTTATAAAAGGAGAAAAAAACTAGTCTATATATGTAGTACAGTACAGAAATAGTTAGTTATATATTGCTATTATTTTTACTATAGACGTATGCTAAAAAGTTTTAATTATGAAAGGTGAGAATATAGACAGTTTAAAAAAAATTGTTGACAATAAGAATTTTTAGGAGTTTATTTATATGTATTAAAGTAATAGATTAAAATATTTAGCAAAGATATTTAATTAAAAAAGAAATTTTTTTCAAAGACTGATATCGTACATTGCCCAATCAAATATATGATGGAAAGTAAATGATATATGCTATACAAAGAATCAAGAAGTAGCTATTCCAAAATAAAACTTTTTTAAATAGCGTATAAAATTATAAATTTTATACGCCGATTTTTATATCACCGATTTTCAATACTAAGATATAATTAACATTTTAAAATACAGAATATTTCTAAACCTTCGGAAAAATTTGATGGAAATAATTATTTTTAAATAAAATTAGATGCTTGGATATCTTTAGGTATATTGCAGAAGGTGATGTGGCTAGTAGTATTAGCATAGAAATGCAATACTTGCCTTCGATTAAATAATACCTATCTGGGTATACCTTCCAATATCAATACCTTCCTTGAGCAAAAAGGATTAGGCAATGGATAAAAGGTGAAAAGATTAACGTCTGATTTAAGCTATAACTCTTGTTATTCTATCAATCTCTGTTTTGCTAAGTTGAACGCGACCTTTAATTTTTGAATAAAATGAACGTTTTTATCAGTGACTAGGTAAGCTAAGTGACAGCAAATGTGGATTCTCCTAAATTTAAGCCAATGAAAAACTAAAGTTTGATAATTACTATTTCAGCTTATGGATGATAATCATGAGTTTATCAGGTCGGCTGAGTGACTGTCGGAGATATGCATTGTTCTAAATAATCTTCGAAAAAAATCGAGCCAATGTAAACTTTAAAAACATGAATCTTTAACATTGTCATGTCAGCTTGAAGAAGATGATTGTAACCTTAACAGAATGCTGATTAAGAATACGTTGAGTTATATTTTTCTCAAAGGTATGCAATCAAATAATTTTTAGACCCAGAAAGTTCTCAAGTGTAGCTCCAACAACTGAAATGTTGAAATGGTTTAGAGAATTCGACTGAAATTGTTTAGAGAATAATCAACCTATACTAATAACTCTGGAAATAATCTAATTACTAAAAGGATACTCATATATAAATACCCTCAACTAAATTTTGATATTGTAAATAATATTGGATGATACTCATTTTCAATATATGTTGTGGGTTATATCAAAACTGCTTCTGGATAATGGAAGCACATTAATTTAAAAATTAAATTCGTAAAAACTATTGTATTTACAAAAATTAAAAATTTTTATTCTTTTTGGCAGAACAGAAAATTGCAAGATAATTACAAACATAAAATGTAGTTGTGATTGTACCTGGAGCTATTTGTAAATATGAACGACCACTACTATGTTGGAGATTCATTTTTTGTTAGTGAAGCTATCCAAGCAGATTTCACCAAGGACAACAGAACACATAGATTCCAACAACTATTAATGAACTAAGAACACATTCTAACTTAAGTATAGAATTTATTACTAATTTAAATACAAATTTTATATAGACGTGATGCATTAAGCAAATGAGAACATGGGACAAAATGCCATTCAATTAAAGTAAATCTATATATCTATATAATATATCTCCTCTTTTTTTCTTCTCTTCTCTTCTCTTCTAGGGAAATAATTAGTTTGAGTTTAAAAATATAATAACCAGATGACTCTTTATGGAACTACAATGTAAAGTTTCAAGAGTTTTGGGCTCCTTATGGAAACTAATACTTCAGATTCAATGAGACTAATAATACTTCAGATTCAATGAGACAAGTATCACCGACTCCTGGTAACCATTACTATACGTCATTTTTTTTATTTTTATAGTATAAAAATACTACTAATAATATTATAAAATTTTACTTCATTCTAATAAAATTGAAAATTATTATAAAAAAATCTTTTATTTCTTTGATATAGCTGTTTGATCATAATAATATATATATATATAAAGGCAGCAGCAGTCTTTTAAATTTGATTAAGCAGCATTGGACAATAATCATTTCCTCAGATTTCATATTATAACTGCATATATTAGTCTTTTATTATATGCAGTAGACTCTCGACATAACGAAAGAGATGACGTCAAATATATCACAAGAGAACATATTCGATATACCAGGAGGATTGACTTTACAACAGGTGGCAAATCAGAACAAAATCATTTACATTTTGTATATTAGTTTTAAACAATAGCTGTAAAAGTTTCGACTTCTTTAGATATTTGATTAGCTCTTTGCAAATAATTGAAATACTGCACCTGATGATTTTTAATAAAATGCAAAAAATTTAATATCATTCAGTAATAAAATTCCTTCATTTGAAAGGAATGAACAATGATGGAATCAAATTTGAAATGGATTTTGTTTACGACAACCTTGCACTATCACTAACAACAATAGCTGAATATTGGAAAGTTGAACTTAAACGTGGTCGAACGACTGTTTTCGATGAAAAGTGTCCGGGTCATCCAAAAGAGGTCACAATTGAAAAAAACATTGAAAAAATCCACGATATTGAGCTTGATGATCCAAAAATCAAATTACGTGAGATACCAGAGATGACAAACACGTGTATCCAATATTTTACATGAATATTTGGCTATAAAAAAGCTTTTGACAAGATGGGTGGCGGGTTTGCTCACAATTAACCAAAAACGACAACGACTTCATCATTCAAAACATTGTTTGGAAATGTTTATATACAAAGTAGCTGACTGTGAGCATCGAATGGTGACAATTGATGAAACATGAATCTACTTTTTCACACCTGAGGGAAACAAAAAGCCAGAAAAGAGATGAGCCCGGGGGTAGTGCTCCCAAACGACCATGAACTCAACAATCGGCTGGAAAAGTTTTGGCTTCCGTATTTTGGAAATCAAGTGGAATAATTTTCATTTACTATTTTGAAAAAGAAAAAAACAATAACATCAAACTACTATTGCATATTATTGGATCGATTGAATGAGAAAATCAAGAAAAAAAACGTCCAAATTTGTCGAAGAAAAAAATTATGCTTTTGCAGGATAACGCACCCACTCACATGTCAATGAAAATAATAACAAAATTAAATGAATTACGGTACGAATTGCGAATTGCTTACCCACCTTATTCTCCAGATTTGGTTCCCAGTGTTACCTGTAACCTGTTTTTCAAACTTAAAAGGATGGCGCCAGGGAAAGAGATTTACATCAAATGATGAAGTGGAATGAGACACTGAGATATATTTTGGAGGACTTCATTAATAGTATTATTTAAAAGGTATCCAAACGTTGAAAGATCGTTGGACTCGGTGTATCGAGCTAAAAGGGGACTATATTGAAGCATAAGATATTATTTTTCAAAAAAATGCGTTTTTATTACTTAGATCAATTCATCTAGTATTTGTGATTTTTCAATAATTTGTTATATAGAGGGTTTAATCTATCGGGTATTTGGTAGATCTAGATTCTATTGTATATCTTGACTCTATTGAAGCGATTTCGTTACTTAGACCGGGTATTTATCAATCCACCTTGTATTTGTGATTTATAAAAATTTAATAATTTTTTATATAGAGGTTTTGATCTATCGGGTATTTGGTAGTTCTAAACGCTATTGTATATCTTAACTCTATTGAAGCGTTTTCTTTCCTAAAACCGGGTATTTATCAATCCACTTACTATTTGTGATTTGAAAAAGTTTGATAATTTGTTATATAGAGGGTTTGATCCATCTGGTATTTGTTATATCTAGACTTTAGATTCTTAAACTACCTCTGCCTACTACTATGTTAGCACTTGTTAATATTATGTTATTATATAATATATTATGATATATGCATAAATAAAGTTAACACTGGAGATTCACTAGAATCCATACAATAACCCAAACCATACATTACACCACCACCACCACATCGTGTTAGTATTCTACTTAAATTAATTTCTACTAAACTTAAGATACTAAAGTTACTCGTACTGCCATCTGCTGAAATACTTTGACTACTGCGGTTCGTTTAAAAGCTGTGTATTGCCCATTCAACAATTAGCATTTTACTCCATATTTCAATGAATTTTGAAACTAACTACTCAACTTAAGAGGTACACATATAGTAAATGTGATGAAAAAAAAAAAAAATAAGATATTATAAAAAAGTGAAAATACTTTAATATTGGATTGATAATGCAAGTAATAGACATTTCGAATCGATTGAAAATAATTTAAAATAAAAAATGTGAACTTAAATTCGAAATAGAAAATTACTTTTGTGTAAGAACGTGCGTGTGTTTCGAAAGCATTGTATGCAAATATATTTTCGAGTATATATGGTAGATACATTACATTGTAGTAAGATATTTATGTACGAGTAGATACTGTTGATACTGTATGCCATATTTATTTGCTGTATTTTATGGATATTTTATAGTTGACATAAAAAGGTGAATTAGCCACAAATAGTTTACTTGAATGCAACAAATATGAATATTGTAATATTGACTATTTTGGTTTGGTATGAAGTATAAAATCTTTTATTTGAATGCATTTTAGACTTTTTGTTCTTTACCTATATTCGCTTAAATTTTTAAATAATCTATCCCAATACTCTGAACTGAAAAAATAAAAATATTATTAACATTTATGTTTATAAAATAAATAATAAAATTAATTAGTAACAGAAATTGTTAAATTAAAAACAAAACACAGTAACGATGTACGAGTGTATGTGTATGTATCTTAAAATTCATGTAGTCATTTACATACTTATATGTAGTTTTCTCTGATATTTCTCGAAGAGTTTTAATATAAATTTAGTTACATATAACAATTAAAAGCTTTGTGTCGGCACCATACATACATTATTAATTATTATTTTAAATTTATTTAAGCACAAAACGAAACATTGAAATAATTAAATTAAAATACATACGAACATCATAACACAATAATATAAATCTGTAACTCAATAAACTACCAAAAGCTATTGCGATGTCTTATGAGAGAGATATATAAATACTCCATTACAGAAGATATCTTATAGAATATTGGTGCCAAGCTCGGAAAGAATTTGGACATAATGATAAGAATTTAAATTATTCCTTAGACTAGGTTAAGTTATACCGGCTATCTCTAGGGAATTTACTTAAGCGTATTAGCCTATTGTGTTACCGTACAAATCGGAAAACTCAGGGTTTAAAATCATGTAGAATCTTTGCTGAAGCTCAAATTGCTGTTTAATGTCATAGGCTTAAGATTCTCAAGAAAGAGGGCTTCTAAAGTGTTGAGTTGTTGCTGTACGTGAGCTAGGCAAAGACGGAGTAGATAAGAGGCACTATCATAATCTTCCTCACAGCTGCGACAGGTACGATTGAAAGGGAGATTCAAGCTACTAGCTTGGTTCTCTAGTTTGTACTAAGCTGTAAGTAAACCTCCCATAAAACTGATATCTCGACGGGACATCTCAATGAGAATATTGAATTTCCTTTTAGTGATAAGTGGCCAAATTGCATACAGATGCCTGCATATCGTTGAACTTATCTCTTAGTTTTTTTTCTTGATTTAATTTAAGAAGAATTTAAGAAGGAGCGAAAGGGAGAGAGAGAGATCATTGTTGAGACATTAAAACCCAATCATCTCAATGAGGCCCTATGTTCTATGAGGAGAAGAAGACTATGTTACAGTTAGTAAGTAAGTAATCTAAATTTAGTTCATAAAAATACTGTTCAATAACAGATGAAGGGCTATGTGTTCTCCACATTTTTGAAACACAATTGTGCATATGTGATGCCATTCTATATCGTACCTTCTGATTACTCCGATCAGTATTTTGGGGTGTTCTCAAAGTGTATCATAAAAACGTATCGTATCCTTATTAAATATAGACAGCATCGCCAAACGCTATGATGGTGGATGGTGGACAAAACAAAAAGGAGCAAAATTACATGAAACGTGACGAATTTCCAAATATTGTGTTCTCTGAAGAGAAAAATTTACTTATTGAACAGTTCAAAATCTCTCAAAATAATCGTGTTTCCTTAACTGAACGCACTGCCGAAAATTTGAGATTACGAATGACCGGCCACCCAAAGTAATTTTCCATCTGAAGTATAGTAATGGTTTGGGCTGTGACCGCCGTTGAATGCTCTCCAATTGTTTTCATCGACGAGGCTCGAAGTCAATGTGACTAATTGCAGGGAAAATATTTTGGAAGTCGCTTTAGAGCCGTGGAAACACAAACATTTCCGCGATAGACCATGGACGTTTCAAAAAGATTCGGCACCGGTCGCAGTTTCACAAAGCTCGTGTGAACCAAGAATGGATAAAAAATCATGTTCCACACTTTATTTTGTCCACACAATGGCTTTCGAATTTGACAGATGCAAATTCGATGGACTATTCCATTTGGACCATTTTGGAGAGCAAGATGAGGACCGAAAAATATGCCAGTATAGATGCGGTGAAGAAAGTCATTGTACAGAAATTGGCTAAAATACTGGAAGATCACATTTGTGAAGCATGCAATTTATTTTTTAGCTGTTTGAAGGCCGTAATCAAACAAAATGTGGTCATATCGAGCTAGAGTTAATGGATTCTGAAATTTTAATTATTTGTATAAAATTTTTTAATTTGAATTAATAAAACAAATAATTTCACACCAAAAAGATATGGTCGCTTGAATAGGTAACACTTCAATCGCTTAATATTTGTTATTTGTAACATCAATAATTAAGAATTTTCGTATGAATCTTATACTTTTCATATTTTATTTAATTAAGATGTTGTTTTAAATAAATATTTAGAAACCCTATAAATTGCTTAAACAAACTCAAATAATTTTTTGAATTGTGTTTATAAATTGTAAGTAGATTATAAGGTAGGCTCTTTTTAAAATTAATAGTGAACAAAATTCTGTCTAAATATAAGAAATTGATATCAATGGAAAAATTTAAGCTAAATTTCAAAATTTATAATTAATAAAATTTTTTTATAATTTTTTATGAAAACTGTATCTTTCATACGTACATTTCTCGACAAATTCTAACTTGTTTTTTTTTCATCGATAAGAGTTATTATTGCTATGGCAGCTGTCAAAACAAAGGTCTTAATATAATCAGTGGTGTCTACAGGTTTGTTTATAAAATAGTGATAATATCAAATTTTGGTAGCTAAAGAGAGGTTTGACGTATTTTAACTATAACAAACCAAAAATCAATAATAAGATACTTTTTTTTTAAAAAAAAATATTTTAAACAAAATGAGATTATTTAATCATAAATAATGTAAACGTATAGGAAAATTATTAAAAATACTAAAAATACTATGTTGTTAAGTTATTTTTATAAACAATTGAATTTTCTTCTCTATATATCTAGGCTAAGGTTTTGTGTATAATTAGTTAAACAAAGTAAATTTAATTGATAACTGAAATTAGTTTTCTGTTAGTTTTTAATGCAATTCGCATCTCCACTTTTCAATCTATTATTATATATTGAAACTCAGTAAATATATAAGCTATGCACAGCTTTAGTATTTAAAATTCTGTTCATACACTTTTTACATATTTTTAAACAATTTTTAATACTTAAGTTATGTACTTAAGATATTTAAGGTAAGTCATTTGCACTACATTTTTCAACCTCATCTGATTAAACCCATATACTAAAAATATATTCTGCAGCCTGAGCTAACGCTAATATTGTCAAAGAACTGAGTGTTTAATAAAAAATATTATATCTTTTATTGTAATATTATTGTATATAATTTATTTCATCTTTCTAGTTATCATTACTATACATAAAAATATATTTACAAAGAATTGCTAAAGATTTGATAGAAGGACTAAGTTAATTAAATCGAGAACTCGGCTTAGGAATTCACATCCAAATATTATTCTATTAAATGAGTACTAGAATACTAAAGACAACGAATATATTTAGGAGTCATTCTTGGAGTACGCCCAGATACAGATTAAATCACACTTTCACTATATTTTCAAGTTCAAAAATGGATAGAGGCGCTGGTGTTGGTATATATAAACCCAACGCCAGAATTTCGAAGGCAAGAGAAAAATGGCAGATTGTCTCCTAAGCTGAAATTCATGCAATCCACTGGCTCGAGACTTATTATTTACTCTGATAGCGAGGATGCTATTAAAGCTCTGACTTTTTGGACTTTCAAGTCGAAACAAGTCCTTGAGCGTTGCGAGTTTCTATAGTTACTTGCAGCTCGGAATAAGGTAAGTCTTTACTGGGGTCCGCTGCACAGAGGAGTTTTGGGAAATGAATGAACTGATGAGCTGGATCAGAAACTGCTTTTACAGGTACTCAACCTTTTTGTGAGTTAAAATGGGCCAGTACAAAATAAATAAACAAGAAGAGAGAGAATCTTATGCGGCTGGTGTACTGGGAAAACTTCTCAGGAATTAGACAAAGCAAAGTAGTTTCCTCATTGAAGAGGACTGTGCAGCTTTAACAACGCACAGAAAAAACTTATTTCATATGAAATTTCTGCCACCAGAACAGATTAAGAGTTCTTTTTTAGATTTAGTTTTGGACTAGGCAACTGTATAGCAGATGAATTAGCAAGACATGGTACGACCGCACAAATTCTTCTGGGAAAAGAAAGTGTGGGTATACCAGTTGCTTCTTGTCGGCACCGAATAAAATTATGGACATACCAAATGTTTGAAAGAAGATGGTCAACAGTAACCAACTGCATAAAAACCAAGGAATTTTGGCCAAAAATAAGTAAGAAAAGATCGGGGGAATTAATCAACCTATCCCGATCAAATTTATCCAGGATAGTGGGAATTATTACGGGACACTGCCCGTTGGGAGGACGTGAGGCTCAACATCAGGACCTCCTTACATTGTAGGCATTGCATGGAGGATGATAAAGAGGAATCACCAACACACCTTCTGCTACAGTGTCCTGCCTTCGCAAGACATAGACTATCCTACTTAGGGTCGCACTTTTTCTATTCATTAAGAGAGCTAGATTCTATTTCCATAGCTCGTGTCAATGGCTTTGTAGCCAATACCAAGTGGTTACGGCCCCAGTAACCTAACCTAACCTAACCTTGGTGCAATAGGACTCTTCTCGCTGCAATACAGGCTATTGAGCGATTTCACATCAATCATTTTAATAATAATATACAGTTTTGTTCCTTTGTTGGGTTAGCTATTTTTACATAATGATTGTCAGACATAGTCTTAGCTTGTATTTATATCAATTATAACATACTAGACAGCAACGGACTGTGGGTTTTTCCATATAATATAATTGCTTTCTCCATATAATTATGCCATATAGTTTCTAAGATATACTTCACATAATGTAAAAAAATTATGATCAAAAAATATGTTAAGGATCAGGTGTTAAAAGGTATGTTGAATGTTAACAGCGTGGTTGTGCTGTCATATTTTTATAAAATATTGACAGATCAGAAGAAACCTGTTAGAGAAAAAAACAGGTGATCGTTACTACTGATGGTTATAGTTGTAATCCAGTTTGAACAGTTAGGAAGTACCGCAACCGACTCTAAATTGAACCACATTACTTATCATTTAATAACCTTTATGTTACAATTAGATGACCTTTACTATTACTTTACTGTAATATATAATAATATCCTGCGAATGATGGCAGAAGTCATAGTCATATAATGCCAAACCATATTTATTACATAGGTTAGAGGTTATCCGAATTTAAAAACGCGCAATTTCGGAACCTATAACAAATATATGTATATATTTTTAAATAGACTTTGAATGTATTAATATTAGAATAATTTTTGATATATTGAAAATTTTGCTATTTTTGATATACCATATAACATTACATATTGTATATGATTATGTGTTATGCAAAATATAATACCCACTCGCTGAGCTTGAACTAAACTCTACATGTCTAATTTTTACATTGCATAGTGGTTTAAAACTATATATAGCCGTATGAAGTTTATGAAATACACTACTTTTGTTTAGCGTGATATGATGCATATAACTTAATTTAATTAGTACGTGTGAGAAATTTTGAGGCCTTCCTTAATCAATAACAAAGTTTTACAACCGTTACTCTGCGGACCCCCGCGGGAAGGGGCTTAGAATATTCTTGTAATAGGTGACTAGAATCTAGTAGGTAGCTAGAAATAGGTACTTAGTTTGGAGTTTAAATGGTGGTCAGTGACTTTCACTTGCGACATCTAAGCGAAGGTTTAAATCAGCTACCGCAAGTATCTGAACTCACAGCTTTAGCTGTCTCAAATAAGTGAGGTTGCCTCTTTTTAATAGACATATAGTTGTGGCTGTGGTTAAAACCCAAAATTGGGTGCGTAGAATTATCGTATGCATTACTTTCATTTCATGAACCCTTCATGAGCTCTAAAGAACGGCAGAGATATTACATAAGCTTCGTTTTCTCCCAAGTAGGATACTATATCTATGCTTATGATTTTAAGTGGTATCAGCAGAATTTCTTGGAATTCCAATTGGGACTCTTATAAGAGTTATACTAATGCGTATGTTAAAAGCATTATAGTGTTAAGCCTTAATGGCAGGTAATTATGTTAAGAAATAATGGACTTTGCTAGTATGTGGGCCGCTACCGAATGGCGATTTAAGGAAAACCTTAAAATAATATCTTAAAATCTTAAAATAATATTTTTAAGGAGTATCGGTATTTGCAATAAAAAGGACTGAATATTCAAACGGTTTTTATAGAACACCAGCTTGTTAACTGAGTTATAAAATAACAGAGAGAAATAGTGGCTTACATTCGATATAGTTCGAGTACATGTATATGTACATGTACATGTATATTTCGAGTTGGAATTTTACAATGCTCCTAACTTAAGATAGTGAATACCTCTACTAAATATTTTTTTCGTTCCCCAGTATGTTTTGGATAGAATGTCTCTGAATTATAATATTGTTCTGATATTATAACCAGATAATTCTTAGCTAATCAAAATTTCTAGTAGCAGTATAAGTCGACTACTAATACCCAGTGTGTAATGAACAATATTAATAGTTCATTGTTATGAGATCTTAATGTTAACAATATAATGTATTAATATTAATAATATTAAAAACAATAATGTTAATATTATTTTATATATCTGGTATTTGATTTAAGTTTCATATAGTATAGGGCGTTGTTTGTTCGTTCTTGTTTATTTAATTTTTATGGGTTATTAAACATGGAATTTCCATATATATTTTTTTTTTGTTTTTAGTGAGGTACTTAAAAAAGAGGTAAGAGCTGTGTGTCATGGCTCTGAAAATATTAAATTTGTAAAAAAGAAAATATTATATTAATAAGTATTTTAATAAACAATCAAGTATGAAGTGGTACGTAAACAGAATGCGAATTGATTTCTATTTGGGGGCGTTTTCGTATACGAGTATAAAAAATGAAGTGCTCCGAACTATATTTTATTACTACGAGTACAGCAGCACAAACAAAAATAAATTGCTCCATAAAAGCAGAATAGAAGCACTTAGTTTGCTATTTTGGGCCTTTTCCCATTTTTGCCTTTACTACAAATTATATGATTGTCATAAAAATAAGTGCAAACTTAACATTTTGGTTTTCGGCATCCTTATTGCCTCATAGTCAGAAATTTTATACAAAATTTATATATTTTGGGTTGAAAAATGTAGTGCTGACGAATAACTCAAATACATTGAACATGTTTATGTGTTAAGAGTTTAAATTGAATTTGTTGTACTTACGATGCAGGCGGACTGGGTAAAGGCATTTGATGTATCTTCCAGGTTGCGATTGAGAGTGAATGTTCGTCAGCCGCATAACAACGCCAAACTGATTGGATGAGTGTTGCCGCTGGTTGCCGTCGCCGTATCATATGTTTCTGTCGCTGTTGTTGTTGCACCTTCAGGGCAAATCCACTGCCCAATATGCCCTTTAATAGAGTAATAGTAGTGTAATGTATAATATCTAAATGTATCTAGATGCTTTTACATACTGCAGGTAAAGCAAAGAAAGAAATTCCTAGTAAAGCACAAAACGATGCTATGAGTTTGCCTTGCCATGTTTCAGGCACCATATCACCGTAGCCGACTGTACAAAGAGTTATCTAAAAATAGGAAAACGTGACATATAGCGTACTTTGTTTCTATTAATAAAAATAAAAAGTTGGTAACTTGTTACTTACCACGCCCCACCACAAAGCCTGTGCGAAATTACTAAATTTAGCGTTTATATCTTTTTCCATTAAATAAACAAGAAATGATGCAAATATGAGACCTAGGAAACCTATATACATAGTCGTTATCAGTTCCTGTAAGGGATGTGCAAATTAATATATAATTAATTATTTTTATAATATTTATTAATATATATATATATATCTATGTTTATTGTTAATATAATTAAAATTTATTTATAATTGCATATGAGTGGATATAAATAAAAAGCAACTAAACTGGTTTGGAAAAAGGAAAAATGGGGAAAAGGGGATTTATTTGACACTGCATTATTCAATTTATTAATTTTTTGATTAATTAATGAATTAATAATAATTTTGCTTTTTCACGGGCTAATTGGTCAATAGTTGAATAATACACTTTTCAAATATTT